CCCCCCCCTCCCCGGTGGATATGTTTCCGGGAGGGGGAAGGTATGGCAGTGTTTTGGACTTGTTTTTCTTGTGTTACCCCTGTCTTTGTTCCTGGTTTTCCATATATGGTATTTTTCCTGTTCTCTTTTAGTTTAATGATGATTCCTGGCACCTGTGTTTGTTAATTATCCTGTGTAATTAAGTTCCTGTTTGTTCCTTCCTTGCTGTCGGGTCAATTCGTTGAGTTTGTGCGTTTGCTTCAGTTTCTATATTGGAATCACCCGTGTTTCGTCAATAAAGACTATTTCTATTTCATGCCTCCTGCATGCTACATGCATATACACATCGTGACACCTTCGTACCTTATTTACATTTATATATTAGTACCTAATTGGTACATATTTTTAGTTTTTGCCCAGTGAAAGCTTTTGTACCTTGTTTTTCTGAGAGTGTATGGTCCCAAATGTAACCTATGAGATTAAATAGGTTTTAAAAGTATAGTGCAAGTCATTGGTTCTGAAATGACACCGCAAACAGGCAGTGTGCCTCAGCCTCAGTCATATCTGTGTATTAAGCCCCATGTCTAAGCCCTGCTGACAGGACCATGAGAGGAAACAAGAGCCACGTTTGAGTCATAAATGAATGCAATATAATACATGACGATTTGTAATGGATACTTTTGTTAATCCTTCACACTTGCTCATAACCACCACAGGGAGTAAAGCACATGTCGTGCATTAAATGCGTCTAAAGGCAGTGTGTGTGTGTGTGTTTGCAGTTTTCTCCCAGTGTTCTGCTTTGCATGCTTTGTGTCTTCCTGTACCAGCCTCCAGGGCGCCCACCCCCCCCTCCCCGGTGGATATGTTTCCGGGAGGGGGAAGTTATGTCAGTGTTTTGGACTTGTTTTTCTTGTGTTACCCCTGTCTTTGTTCCTGGTTTTCCATATATGGTATTTTTCCTGTTCTCTTTTAGTTTAATGATGATTCCTGGCACCTGTGTTTGTTAATTATCCTGTGTAATTAAGTTCCTGTTTGTTCCTTCCTTGCTGTCGGGTCAATTCGTTGAGTTTGTGCGTTTGCTTCAGTTTCTATATTGGAATCACCCGTGTTTCGTCAATAAAGACTTTCTATTTCATGCCTCCTGCATGCTACATGCATATACACATCGTGACACCTTCGTACCTTATTTACATTTATATATTAGTACCTAATTGGTACATATTTTTAGTTTTTGAAAATGTACCGGCCCAGTGAAAGCTTTTGTACCTTGTTTTTCTGAGAGTGTATGGTCCCAAATGTAACCTATGAGATTAAATAGGTTTTAAAAGTATAGTGCAAGTCATTGGTTCTGAAATGACACCGCAAACAGGCAGTGTGCCTCAGCCTCAGTCATATCTGTGTATTAAGCCCCATGTCTAAGCCCTGCTGACAGGACCATGAGAGGAAACAAGAGCCACGTTTGAGTCGTAAATGAAAGCAATATAATACATGACGATTTGTAATGGATACTTTTGTTAATCCTTCACACTTGCTCATAACCACCACAGGGAGTAAAGCACATGTCGTGCATTAAATGCGCCTAAAGGCAGTGTGTGTGTGTGTGTGTGTTTGCGGTCTTCTCCCAGTGTTCTGCTTTGCATGCTTTGTGTCTCTCAGAAAGGGTTTTTAATGTTCAGCTATGTGTTTCTCTCAGCTCATGCCTCACTGGATGTTTAAGATGTTCTGTATTTTGCTTTAAACCTTAACAATGGGTTTTCCACAGATGTTCCTAATGTAATTGTCATAATGGGTTCAGAAAGGAATATTTGGACCCTGACTGTGTGTTTCTGTCTCCCTGACGTCAAAGTTTTTAAATCTTTTCAGACGGTATCAGAAACTGCAGAAGATTATGAAGCCCTGGTAAGCCCCTCCCCTCGAGCTGGATAACCCCCCTGTCACTTACCCTCTAATCTCCGGGCCGAGTCTCTGCATGATCGGGCTCTGGCCTCAGTGCTCAAAACCAATCAAAGCGATGGGAACACTTGGCAACTGCTGCAGTCACTACACCATTTTTCTGATGATTTTATGGTTTTATTGGGATATTATTTCCATGTAACCAAATCATCTTTCTTTCTTTTGCATGTGGTGTTGGGCAACATTGGTGCTTTAGGGGGAGCTTTGCACTAACCTTTGGGAAACTGTTTTTTCTTCTTCCATTCATTGACAAGGTTATGTTGCTCACATTTCCATATGATTGCAACACCCACCATTCCTCTTAAAGTTTATCAAAACACTGCTTGTTGCTTAAAGTCCTGTTGCCCAGGATCCCTCTAAAATGGTTGGTTGTCATAAACAACCAGTGACCTCAGCTAAACTCATGTCACATTTCATGTTCATTACATTTACTCAACATTAAATATCCCTTTGTGAGATTTCATCATCTCTCAATGTCACCGTGGTGATTATTTGTAGGGTTTTGCCCAATTCCAGCTGCAAATATTTCCTGCTCCCAGTGGTACATTTATGAGTTGCAACTAATGTCTTTTATTATGAGGTCTAACTTGCGCTGTATTAACTCCCTGCTACCCTCAAATACTCAACACTAAGCTACATGCAGGCAACTTTATTATGTCTTTTCTGTTTCATATCTAGGGCTCTGCCTTTTATGTTCTTTAGAAAATGTTATTATTTGTATTTATGTTTTTGTAACTCGAGATGTCTTGGCCTGAAGTGTTGTTTGTATTTATTAAATTTAAAATTTTATTCCAAATGTTATTTTATTTTATTTTGCTCAAAAGCTGTGTTTTTTGTTATGTTGTAAGTTTTACCTTTCGTTCCACCTATATTTTAATGATGAGAATAATGAAAAGGCATGAACTGAGGTATTTGTGACGATAGGGGGTGGTGTTATTCATTTTAAAGCCAAAAATCTTAACCTAGAAAGCTGTCGCACATACTGAGGATTTGGAAATTAGATTTTATCTGATTTACTCAAAACTCTGGAGTAATTCGGTCTTATTACTTAAAGGAATATTTGAGTTTTAATACAAATTACCCTATTATCGACAGCATCAGTGACATGCTTGTATGATAGTAGCTTTGCCCAGTAGAGTTACTTTCCCCCCCCCCCCATCAAATTAAGGTACAAAATTATTTTCTGTGCAATCACAGCATGCTGTTTATTGAAATTAAACATATTCATTACATTTACTCAACATTAAATATCCCTTTGTGAGATTTCATCATCTCTCAATGTCACCATGGTGATTATTTGTAGGGTTTTGCCCAATTCCAGCTGCAAATATTTCCTGCTCCCAGTGGTACATTTATGAGTTGCAACTAATGTCTTTTATTATGAGGTCTAACTTGCGCTGTATTAACTCCCTGCTACCCTCAAATACTCAACACTAAGCTAAATGCAGGCAACTTTATTATGTCTTTTCTGTTTCATATCTAGGGCTCTGCCTTTTATGTTCTTTAGAAAATGTTATTATTTGTATTTATGTTTTTGTAACTCGAGATGTCTTGGCCTGAAGTGTTGTTTGTATTTATTAAATGTAAATTTTATTCCAAATGTTATTTTATTTTATTTTGCTCAAAAGCTGTGTTTTTTGTTATGTTGTAAGTTTTACCTTTCGTTCCACCTATATTTTAATGATGAGAATAATGAAAAGGCATGAACTGAGGTATTTGTGACGATAGGGGGTGGTGTTATTCATTTTAAAGCCAAAAATCTTAACCTAGAAAGCTGTCGCACATACTGAGGATTTGGAAATTAGATTTTATCTGATTTACTCAAAACTCTGGAGTAATTCGGTCTTATTACTTATGGAATATTTGAGTTTTAATACAAATTACCCTATTATCGACAGCATCAGTGACATGCTTGTATGATAGTAGCTTTGCCCAGTAGAGTTACTTTTTTCCCCCCCATCAAATTAAGGTACAAAATTATTTTCTGTGCAATCACAGCATGCTGTTTATTGAAATTAAACATCATTTACTTACTCCCATGTTGTTCCAAAATTGGATGACTTTTTTTGTGGAACATAAAAAAAAAAGATATTTTACAGAATTGTGTTCACCACTTTTCTTATTGTTAGCTTAAACTAGTCTACAACTAATACAAATTTTGTTATTTGAAAGCTGTAATAAAATTACAGTTACAGTTGCAATTAAAGCAAATTAAATCTGTATAGAAATATTTAAAACTACCAAAAACTAATAAAAATGCCCAAAGCACAAAAATAAAACAAAATATAAAAAAGCTATCTATTAATAAAATGTATTAATAAAATTAAAGCGTAAAAATAAAATATTACAAGTAAATAAATAGTGCTAAAATTGCACTTCTGCAATAACAATAAAACTTGCTTGACTTGATTCGACACTGTTCCACAAAAGATAGAAAGTCATACAGGTTTAGAGCAATATGAGGGATTAAATTATCACAATTCATTTTCATTTTTGGGTGTGATATGCCTTTAACTTGTATTTGACCTAAATATTCCTTTGAAGACTATAGCGTATTTTGTTGTATGTTCAGCCATCATAACTGTAATGTCCCAAAAACAAACTGCTGCATGATACCACTGATCATTTCTGCCAGTGTAATTCCACTGCTGCCAAACTCTCTGGCATTCACTGCTCTTCTGAACATCAGCTGGACTGACTCCATGTCCTCCTGTTCTTCAGCTGCACCAGTACTTGATTCTTCTCGCTCGCTATCGCTCTGTAAAGCTGAGGCTTAGCTGTTCTTTCAGTGCAGGTGAGTGGTAGAGACGTGGCTAGTGGCTGTTGTCTTGTCTTTTTTAGCTTTGGTGACCTGCTCTCCTTTACACTGACGGCCTTCGTGGAGCTCATGGACCATGGCATTGTCTCCTGGGACACCTTCTCTGTGGCCTTTATCAAGAAGGTGCGTCCACATGGGTATCAGTGGAAGTCTTTTCAGAAGTTGCCAGTTTCCATGAAATGGAAAAGGGTATCAAATAGATTGCTGCAGGGATGATGTGTTTTTGTAGGTGCACTTGAACTTTGACATCACACTGGTTCCCTCAGAATATAAGTTCTGTGACCAACACAATGTATGATTCTTACACATTTTTTTCATCTTGATAATCTTCAAAAATTAACACAGCCTTGATTTTTGAAGCCTAAAAACAAATGCCAGAAGTAAAAAGCTAGACTTAAGCTGTAAAAGAGCTACACCAGGGGCACAAGACTATAATGTCACTACCATTGAGTTCTGACATCTGTCTTTATTTAAAAGCATTTTCCCTGAAAGTTTGATGAAAGAGTGTGATTATGAACACAGAAATGCTTTAAAAGTGACTAGTAAGTAGATGAATTTACTAGTTCAGTTGTCCCAGACAACTTCGGTAGTCCCATTTAGCCACTTGTTCAAGAAAAGGAAAATCTTTAAAAGTATTACTGATATATTTTATGTTGTAGAATAAAGTATGGAAGTATCTTGAGCTTGTGTTAACCACAGACCTTTTTTCAGGCATTTAACCAAAATGATTAACATTTAAAAACCAATTGACTTTGGGACAAAGGAACCAGAAGTGCATTTTACATTATCCCTGCAGCACTCATTTACAAATGTATTTATTTTTATGGTATGTAAAAAGGAAAATGTTTTAAAAGCTTTTAACAATACATGCACATATAAATTACATACAGATGTTAAAGGGTTGTGACTAAGTTGATGCTTCTGAAGAAGAAAAAATGTTTGATCATTAAAAATGGGTATTTAAAAATCTCACAATACACTGAACTGCACTGTGTTCATATTCTATTTTGATGGCACTCTAGATTTTAAACATTCAGTGTCCAGATTTCTGTGTATGCTTTTTAACCAATCAAAGCCCCTCTCACTTCATCCTCAGATTGCCAGTTATGTGTGTAAATCTTCCATGGACACTGCTGTACTCCAGAGGTCTCTAGCCATCCTGGAATCAATGGTGCTCAACAGTCAAGATCTCTACCAGAAGGTGGCTCAAGAAATCACTATTGGCCAGCTCATCCCCCATCTGCAAGGGTATGGACAATTGATAGCTCTTTGCAATTGTAGTTATCAAATTGAGATTATTTAAAGGAAAAGTTGAGCCAAAAATAAAAAATGTCACTTATTTATCCATATGGCATTTTAAACTTCTATTGCTTTTTATTTTTTGTGGAACGCAACTTTAATACATTTTGAAGAATGTCCATGCTGCTTTTCTCAATATAAAGAAAGCATATAGTGACTGTCAGAATCCAAAAATTACAAAAATGCACCACATTATTGGACCATATATCCGATGCAGCCAAGTGTGAATATGTACTTCTGGGCATCAAGCTTTAGGTGCTTAACAAACCTTAGTAACTATATGGTTTTGTTGTAAATGATGACAATTTTTGGTGAGCTTTACCTTTAATTGCCACTCTTAGTTTTTGTTTTTTTCCTCTCTGGGAACAGGACGGATCAGGACATTCAGACTTACACCATCGCAGTGATTAATGCGTTGTTCCTCAAAGCCCCTGAGGAGAAGAGACAGGTACAGCACACACACAAACCCATTTGCTGTTTTTTCCCCCCCATTTGTTTGTTGTTGTCTGGACTAAATAATGACACTGTGTCTTCATCAGGCAAGACGTGAGAAAATGTCAACTGAATCACTTCCATGTTTGTCTAAATTTTTGTTCTAACAAGCTGTGACTGTCAATAGCATCACACAACATTTTAGGCATTTAGGAAATTCTGTCCATTCATGCAGCATTTTAGTATTAGTGGGAACATAAAAATGACTTGATGCTGGAAACTTAGGGCTTAGAATGCAGATCAAGAAGTCCACTTTGTGAAAAGTAATGCAAATATGTCACTTAATTTGGCATAATTTAGTATTTTGTACCTGTATGAGTGTCTATTTGTGTCTTTGTAAGCAAGCAATGTGTGAGTTTTTTTAGCTCAGGTAATTTCCTTTCAGCCTCCACCCATATTTAATGCCTGTTATTCTTGATAGCCAATTGAGTGGAGTGGGTTAGACAGCAATCTTTAAACGAGTGGTCACATTCACCGTTATTCTGCAAATTTTACTAGGCAAAATCCAGTCATTTTAATAGGAATCCGTGCAATTATGACTATCACATAAGAGCAGAATGCAGATTTCGTAACAGGTTTAAGTTCGCACAAATTTTCTGTGTTGTCCAAGAGAGAGCTTCCAAGGGAAATGTGTCTTATACATTGCTGACTTATTTTGTCTGCAAAGTTTCTCTGAAATAACATGGATGTGGTTTTGATAAACTTAAGTGAAGGGAAAATATAAAACTAGCTCGTATTATAAGCAAAATTAGCCATATTGCTAACTCCCCTTAGACTTAGCCACTGAATTATATCACCCCTCATTCCTTCAACCATGTGCCGCTCTACAAAGATATGTCAGAAAAGCCGACGCCAGCAGAACCTGAACATGCGAAAGGAATGACAGACAGTGAGTCGGACAGAGTCTCCAAGTGTTCCGATTGGCTAACACATGCTAGCTGTTTACAGAGCCCAGGGCTGTGTGGTTTCTCAGGGCACCTATTTTTGTGATATCTGTCAGATAGTTGGACATTTTATTGCGTGGTATTAAAAAATTGCTTACAACAGCTTTAAAGGGATAGTTCACCTAAAAATTAAAATTCTGTCATTAATTACTCACCCAGCAATACAACTGAAATGAAAAGTCCAGAGACGTAGCAAGGAGATCTGTAAAATAATCCATGTGACATCAGGGGTTCAACTGTCATTTTACGAAGCTACGAGAATACTTTTTGTGCAAAAAACTAAACAAAACGTCTTTATTCAACAATTCGTCTCCTCCGCATCACCCTGTAGCGCCATTTTGGAGAGTATCCGCTGGACGTAAACCGCGTATGCTGTTATGTGTCAGCTGTGTCATGCCGGATCTGTTTCCTACGTTGTTATGATTTGATCTGAACGAAAACAGTGTATCCATGTGACACAGCTGACACAGAACAGCATACACTGTTTACGTCCAGCGGATACTCTCCAAAATGGCGCTACAGGGTGATGCGGAGGAGACGAATTGTTGAATAAAGTCGTTTTTTTTCTCTTTTGCACACAAAAAGTATTCTCGTAGCTTCGTAAAATTACGGTAAAATTACTGATGTGTCATGGATTATTTTACAGATCTCCTTGCTACGTCTCTGGACTTGGGAACATTTCAGTTGTATTGCTGTCTATGCAGGGTCAGACAGCTCTCAGATTCCATTAAAAATATCTTAATTTGTGTTCCGAAGATGAACGAAGGTCTTACGGGTTTGAATGACATGAGGGTGAGTAATTAATGACAGAATTTTCATTTTTGGGTGAACTAACCCTTTAAGTAAGAGAGAGTGACTTCAGAGTCACAGGGGGCTTGTGTAACTGCCTCATATCCTAAATGTCGATTTACAGTTTCTTCAGGTCTGTTTTGCTGACCTCTCATTTCTGTTCTACTAACAAAATGCCTCTGCTTTCTCTCGCTTCTTTTCTCTTCTCTTTTTCGGTCTCATTCTCTCATTATTTCTTCCCCTCGCTGTACTCGTAATGGTAGTTTGATGAGGACAATGTGAACATCCTTGATTGTCCTCTTACAGTAAGTGCTCTCTAGTTGAGGTAAAGCCTCTGTAGGTGATTTAACTGCTATTTGACTGAGATGTTTCATATGTTTGTAGAGCTACACCTTTTGAAGAGGTTATTGAATATGTGTGTGTGAGTCTGTGAGAACTAAGGTGACTCAGTGTTTTGTTTGATTGTAGGAGATGGCTCACATTCTAGCACAGAAGCAGCTGCGCTCAATCATCCTCAGTGTAAGTGCACAGTATACATATTACGAAAATAGTATGAGTAGTATGGCAGTTTGCCAGTCTGAACATAAACATCTCTCTCTGGTATTGCTCTCATGTAATTGATGCAGAAAATATCAGAAATTATCATTTTCTTCAAGTCCCGGGAAAGTAGTAGGTAGTAGTAGTAGTAGTGTTGTTATTTGCGTAGCTTCTTTCATACATAAAATGCAGGTCAAAGTGTTGAATATAAAACAAAAGAGATGTTTTAGAAAAGGAAAGTAATCTCTCCACAGCAGTGCAATGTTCTCCATCTGTCTAAAATTCTCTTTCTTGTTTTTCAGAATGTGATCAGGAGTAACAAACCCATAAATGATGAAATGGCCCACCAGTTATATGTACTACAAGTTTTGACCTTTAACCTTTTGGAGGACCGCATGATGACAAAGATGGATCCTCAAGACCAGGTAAACCTCTGTCTACAGCTGTAATAACTGTTCAACTGTTCGGTCCTACTTATTATACAGCTGCTTGGCCAATAAATTAATGGACATTAAATATTGATTTCAGTTTAATTATTTTATTGGTCACACTTTATTTTAAGGTCCAATTCTTGCTATTAACAAACCATTAACTATGACTTTTGCCTCAATAAACTTCTAATTTGCTGCTTATTAATAGTAAGGTAGTTGTTAATTTTGGGTATCGTGTAGGATTAGGGATGTAGAATATGGTCATGCAGTATATGTGCTTTATAAGTACTAATAAACAGCCATTATGTTAATCATAGGCATGCTAATAAGAGACTAGTTAATAGTGAGAATTGGTCCCTATACTAAAGTGTTACCATTTTATTACTTTGAGAAAGAAAGAGTGATATGAGAAACATGTAGCTATTGTTGGCCTATTGTTTTGATTGAGAGATCAGAAACAAGCTGTGTAATAATAAGGTTTTGTACCTATGTTTGTATAGGCTCAGAGGGACATCATCTTCGAGCTACGCAGGATCGCTTTTGACGTTGAGTGTGAGTCTAACAACAGTGGCAGCTTTGAGAAGCGCAAGTCCATGTATACCAGAGACTACAAAAAGCTGGGCTTCATCGTAAGTTTTCATACAAGACATTGCAATACATACACACCCACACCCACATATATATATATATTTTTTTTTTTATTTTTTTTTTTTTTTTTTAGAGAGATAGAAAGACAAAAAGACAGTAACAC